GTCAAAATTCTATTTTTGAATCTCTTTTTGGTCCTTAGGGTTTCGATTTTTTTTTTGAGCGAGCATACAACTCGGATCGTATTCTAATATTGGATTCTCTCTAACGATGCCAAATTAACTAATTAACTTCCCACAGGCCCAACTGTCATCAAGTGATTTTGTTTCTTTATACATACTTCAGCTAACGTACGGTTGATTATTACACACGGAAAAAAAAATTATGGTCTCGTGAAGAACTACATTACTAGTTATTATACTTTGTCATTTGGACATTAAGAACTCGCACTTTCATTCTTTGGTATATTTGATTTTTTTATTGTTGGTTGAAAAGATAACCGATATATATATATATATATATATATGATTTTTTGGTAGGAAATATATATGTATCCAGAGCTAAGATTTCAAGCAAGGGAGAGAGCAAATGGGAAAAACCTATGAGACGAAACGGTGAACCCAAAGGATGGAGTGTGACGAATGAAAAGTGATTACAATTTACAACATCCTGTATTGGATGAAATTAGTATCTGCGATCATTTTGCTGCCTAAACCACTAGTTTGTTATTGCTTTCGTTTCATTTATATATAATGATGTTTAAGATTTTTGACTATTTTTATTATTGATTAAACAATGAAGCTTGAGCGATGGAAGAATATATAAAAGCCAATAAAGTTGCAAATAATTTGTAACTAAGTGAAGGTTATGATTTATGAATAATTGTGAACCACTTCCTTTTTGCTTTTGAAGGGATAACACCTAAGTTCAAATGAGCTGGCACATAAATATCCCTAGGGTCTGAGTAAGGTGACTCTTCACCCACAATCTGGATCTCCTGATGTTCCTAATGTGAGATTTATTCCTAGGATTTGAGTAGAGTGGTTTTTCAACCACAATCTGATCTCCTGTTTTCTTGATGCCCCACATGTCTATGACTCGAATGCACTAATTCGCCAATGAAAGTAGCAACTAAGACCTTTTGCTGCGCTATAAGCTAGTAATTGGTTAATACATATTAGACAGAAAAAAAGAAAAAGTGAATAGCTGTTGTTTCAGGTGACAGAATATTCTAAAAGGGTTATGTTAAAGTGAATTGAGGAATGTAACACGCTGAAAGTTTTTGAAGATATAAATACAAGTTTTAGGAATTGTAATTGATTATTCATACATTCAATAAAGAAACCCTAAACCGGTATTTTCCTCAAATTTGCGATTTTTTTCTTTTAGTTATCATCTTCTTCTAGTTGATTCGAGTTAATTCACAACAATATCGTTACGCCATATCTAAAAGAATTATATGCGGCATACATTGTTTTTGGAACAATAGCATACTTTATCATTTTAGAAGTCTGTTTTCCAGTTAGAAGTGTAAGAATTTTCTTCTTTGAGAAAAACGATTGAGATAAAATATGGAAGAAAAGTGTGAGAGTTAGTCAAGGGCAAAGAAAGCTCAAATTGGATATGAAGTAAAATGCAATCGAGATCCTTTTTCTCGATGAAGAAAGATAGTTTTTTTTTTATATAGAAAATACATATACGAAACTAGTACATCAGGCAGAGGAGATGATCATCTGGCTGGATGGTTACAAGACATTCGAGTGCTATCACCTACGTTTGTTGTCGTTTTTGCCAACTAGCTCAGACAGATAGGACTTTGATTAGTAAATGAGTAGCTGGCTGGAGGGATTTTTTTGTCTCAAACTACAAAAAAGTTCTTAGTACTAGGTAGTTTGAACACATTACCTAGCTAATGTTGAATACCTTAGTGGCCGGTGGTTTTACCCATTGATTATTTGGGTTTTGTAGGACTCGGTCTCAGAACCCTTAATTGGTTCAAAGAACCAGATGTTAAGCAAGCAATGACACTAAATTTACATCTAAGCTTAACAGGAGTCGGCTAAGTCAAACTATACATGGTGCTAAATGATATTCAAGCTTTAATGATTATGTTTGTACTTAATCGAAAAGCAAGTAAAATTGATTTTCTATACACTTTGTTAAATAAGATCATAATATAAGTTTTGTAAATCACATGACTAATAGATTTCATCTCTCATAATTCAAAATAGCAAAATTTAAAATACATTGAAACCAAAAAAAAAAGCAAAAAAAAAATAGAAAAAGAAACTAAGAGAAAGAAAAAAACACCAAAAATAGGGAGAGGTTAAACTTCGGTGTTCCCAAATAAGGACGAAAGGAATAGCGAAAAGGGAGGAGACCCCAAAGAAGAAGAGAAAAACAAGGAAAAACATTCGTCTAAAAAACCCCTATAAAATGCCTTGAACCATTTCCACAACTCGAAATTCAAACCCCAAAAGCATATTTCAAAATAACAATAAACAATTAACACCCCACCAAAACGCATAAAAAAAGAAAAATCCAAAACTGTTAATCGGAACCAAAAATTGTTTATTGTTATGCGAGGGGTTAAACTATTGGCCGCGTGCCTCTACCTGGCCGCAGCCGCAACCGTGGTGGTCCAAGCCGAAGACCCTTACTTCCACCACGTGTGGAACGTTACCTACGGAACCGTCTCTCCTCTCGGCGTTCCACAACAAGTCATTCTAATCAACGGCCAATTCCCTGGTCCCAACATTAACTCAACCTCCAACAACAACATTATCATCAATGTCTTCAACAATCTCGACGAACCCTTCCTCCTCACTTGGTAATAACCATTCATTAATCTCACCAACATGTATCAATTTCTCAAGTAATAACCATTAATTATGTTTTTGGTAATATTAGGAATGGGATCCAGCACAGGAAGAACTGTTGGCAAGATGGGACACCAGGAACAATGTGTCCAATCATGCCAGGCACAAACTACACTTACCATTTCCAGCCAAAGGATCAGATCGGAAGCTATTTCTACTACCCTAGTACTGCACTGCACCGTTCCGCTGGTGGATTCGGTGGTCTCCGTGTGAACAGCCGTCTTCTCATCCCGGTCCCTTACGCTGATCCGGAAGATGACTACACTGTCCTCATCGGTGACTGGTACACCAAGAGCCACACTCAGTTGAAGAAATTCCTTGACGGTGGTCGCACTCTTGGTCGTCCAGACGGTATTCTCATCAACGGAAAAGCCGGCAAAGGCGATGGATCCGACGCACCTCTCTTCACCTTGAAACCTGGAAAGACTTACAGGGTTAGGATTTGTAACGTAGGTCTCAAGACATCTCTCAACTTTAGGATTCAGAACCACAAGATGAAGCTCGTTGAAATGGAAGGATCGCATGTTCTTCAGAACGATTACGACTCTCTCGACGTTCACGTTGGTCAGTGCTACGGAACCATCGTTACCGCTAATCAAGAACCTAAAGATTACTACATGGTTGCATCCTCTAGGTTCTTGAAGTCGGTTATTACAACAACCGGGCTTCTCCGCTACGAGGGAGGCAAAGGACCCGCCTCTTCTCAGCTCCCGGCTGGTCCAGTTGGCTGGGCTTGGTCGTTGAACCAGTTCCGATCTTTCAGGTGGAACTTGACTGCTAGTGCGGCCAGGCCTAACCCTCAGGGATCTTACCACTATGGAAAGATCAACATCTCACGCACCATCGTTCTCAAGAATACTCAGGGCAAGGTCGATGGCAAGCTCAGGTACGCATTGAACGGTGTCTCCCACATTGACCCCGAAACCCCTCTAAAGCTCGCCGAGTACTTTGGTATTGCCGACAAGGTCTTTAAATACGATTCCATCACCGATAACCCAACCCCGGAACAGATCAAGACCATCAAGATTGAGCCAAACGTTCTTAACATTACTCACCGCACCTTCATCGAGGTGGTGTTTGAGAACCATGAGAAGAGCGTTCAGTCTTGGCACTTGGACGGTTACTCCTTCTTTGCCGTCGCGTAAGTGAAGCAAACAAAACACTCAACTGTTTACACCAATTTCTTTCATAACAAGTAACCAATCCTATTTCTTGCGTTATAAGTAACTCTACGTTTTAATCTAATTTTCAAATTTTCTCTGTTTTCATAGTGTCGAGCCAGGGACTTGGACCCCAGAGAAGAGAAAGAACTACAATCTCCTGGACGCAGTGAGTAGACACACAGTCCAAGTCTACCCAAAGTGTTGGGCAGCAATCTTGCTCACATTCGATAACTGTGGAATGTGGAACATTCGGTCTGAGAACACTGAGAGACGTTACTTAGGACAGCAGCTTTACGCGAGTGTTTTGTCGCCTGAGAAATCATTGAGAGATGAATACAACATGCCTGAGACAAGCCTCCAATGTGGTCTCGTCAAGGGCACACCGAAACCTAACCCTTACGCTGGTGCCTAAGTTAACCTTTTACAAATACAATACTTTAAAAAAATGCAACAAAAGAGTTTGGATTCTTCGGTTGATTTGATCGATGAGAGGCATTTGCACAACGTTTACCCAACGGATTTATTTTCTTGTTTTTTTTTTGGGTCTTTTTTTTTAATCACTTTTTATTTTATCATATTGATTTTTAAAAGTATATGGTTTATTCGTATATACATGAAATTGAAATGTATGTATGTCTATCCCTTAAGTAAATTTTTTTTCTTCTTCTTTTGAAAAGACGCATTGTTCTTCACTTTTTTGTAACGCGTATGTAATGTATCCAAAATCTTCGATGAAATAAGCAGAGAGATCTTACTTGTCTGATATAAAGTGTTCTATGAAAATTCACCATTTTCCGATGGGTAGCTAGTATTTTCCCATACGTAGTTACGTGGACAAAGGTAGAAAAACTTTTCAAACTGTATTATGTCGATTGTGGAGTGAATAAACATGGCTCAAACAGTTAAAACTAAGGTAAGATTAATTTCTTAGTAAAATGGACCAAAGGTACCAAAATTTTACAACGAAGTATTTTTCTATAGTCTAAAACCGTGTATGGTAAGTAACAAACAAGCAAAAAAAAAAAAAAAAAAACCTTGACAAGAAACAGAAGTGCTAAGTGCTAAACTCTTAAATGTCGTCGTCTGCGTTTTTTTTTTTTTCCTTTTTCCACATACAGACTGTAGTTGTTGTACTTTTATATACACTGAGTCACCGACAACAAAATTGGGAAGAAAAATACAAATTTTCAACCTTCACAATTTCCCTGGAATGGGCAATCTCTCATCTTATTAAGGTTCTTTATCTCGTGCTTCTTCTACCAAAGGTGTTTCCTTGAGAGAAAACTCATCGAGACTATCGTTCTCTGTATCTACCTGAACAAGCTCTTTGAACATTGCCATTACTTGAATCATAGTTGGCCTTTTGAACGGTCGATCGTCCAGACACTGAAAGGCGATTTTCAAGTAATGAAATAGTTCAACATCGCCAGATTTCTCTGTTATCAAGTCCGGATCAAGAATCTCAGCTCCTCTCTTCTCCCTGTAGAGCTGTTTAGCCCATCCCACGAGGTTGTTGTCTTCACCAAACTCCTCTGGATCAATCGGTTTCTTGCCTGAGAGAAGCTCGAGAAGTATAACGCCGTAGCTATACACATCTCCTTTGGTGGTGCACCGGAAACTCTGGTAATACTCTGGTGGAACATAACCGGGAGTACCCGCGAGCGTGCTCACGCTCAAATGCGTGTCCAGAGCGCTCACCAGCCTTGCCATACCGAAATCCGAGACACGAGCTACGAAATCTTGGTCTAGAAGAACGTTGCTTGACTTCATGTCTCTGTGGATAATGTGAGGAATGCAGCTATGGTGCAGGAATGCTAGCCCACGCGCAGCTCCTGTTGCAATCTTCTTCCTCGCAGTCCAATCGAGAAAGATTCCGCCTTTCTTGGTCTTCTCGTGTAGAACTGTCTCTAAGCTTCCATGTTTCATGTACTCGTAGACAAGAAGTCTCTCTTCACCGACCTTGCAATAGCCCAAAAGAGGAACGAGGTTTCTATGTTTGATCTTTCCAACCGTCTCCATCTCAGCCATGAACTCTCTGTCGCCTTGTCCCGTCACTTGAATCAGCTTCTTGATTGCTACAACAGACCCGTCCGCGAGTTGAGCCTTGTAAACATCTCCAAACCCGCCTGATCCGATCATACTATCAGCACTAAACCCATTCGTGGCTTCTAAAAGGTGTGCAAAAGTGAGTTTTCGCAGCGGCTTCTCAAACGTCGCAACGTTGATGCTTAACGGTTCAGGAACGCTAGAGAGCTTCCAGCTGCTGCTGCCAGAGGTCGGAAGGCTCTCAATGTACTTCTCTCTCTGCTTTTCCTTCTTCTGAACCTTCCTTAGTCGGTAAAGCGCCATAGTAAGCATAACAATACACATGAACGAAAATACAATCCCAGTGATCATCCCAGTGCCAATGCTCTGCTTCTTAGGGTGAGCATGTGAGCCCGTGGGCCGAGAACCAGAGCTGCAAGGCGGGAGAGGAACCCCGCAGAGGCCAGAGTTGTTTGCGTATCTTGTGACAGGAAACGTCGTAAGTTGGCCACCAAATGGTATTGTTCCGGTAAGATTGTTGTTAGAGACGTCTAAGTCGCTGAGGAAAGAGAGGCCTCCAAGTGAGCCAGGCAAGAATCCTTGGAGATCGTTGTGAGATAGATCAAGAACTCCGATTGCTTTTAATCCTCCAAAGCTATCCGGTATGGTTCCGGTTAACAGGTTATGTCCCAGATTCAAGACCTGAAGGTAGTTCATTTCACCGTAGCTAGGAGGAATAGAACCTGAAACTGCGTTGTATGAGAGGTCCAAGTAGATGATGCTCCCATTACCAGAGAATGTGTACATCGTCATGCCAGAGTATATCCGAGTGGCCGGACACGAATGAAACCTCGGAAAATGCTCTAAACGCTCTGCACGAATCCCTTCGAACTCAACTAAACCGCCTGCACCTCTGCAATCAGTTCCACCTTCATTCCTCACGAACGCAAACTGTTTACCAGACACGCTTCCAGGCATTACAAGACCGGTCTGGCTAGCAAGCTCAGCTGGGAGATTCCCAGTTAGATTGTTACTATTGAGATCAAGCCAGATAAGGCTCTTGCAGTTCCCGAGCTCAGGCGGGACATTCCCGGTTAAAGAATTGTTCCCGAGTTGCAGAATCGCTAGCTTTTCGAGGTTTCCAATTCCTACAGGGATTTTCCCGGTAAGCAGGTTACTAGAAAGGGAGATCCAAAGCATGTTGGTGCATTTCGAGATTGATTCTGGGATAGAACCGGTTAAGAGGTTGTTGTTTAGGATCAGCGTTTCCAAGTTTCCTCCGTCAACACAAACGCCGTCCGGGATTCCACCGGTGAGATTGTTCGCCCACATAACTAAGTCGGAGAGATTAGGCAATGTCCATATCTCTTTTGGAATCGGACCAATGAGAGCATTGAAGCTGAGATCTATAGTCTTCAAGCTCTTGCATTTACCAAGCTCAACAGGAACAGTCCCGGAGAGGTAATTGTTGGCGAGAAGCAACTTCTCCAGAACCGGCGAGCTTTGTAGAGAGCAGAAACCGGATGGTACTTTTCCGGTGAACTCGTTTGAGCTCAGATCAAGAACTCGTAGATTAGTACAGTTTGTGAGCGAGATCGGAACAGAGCCTGAAATGTTGTTGTATGGCAAGTAAAGATAAGTGATTCTAGGGAGTTTACTCACGACGGTGCTTAAGAAATCGCCGGAGAGCTTGTTGTTTCCCAAGTTTAGGTTTTGTAATGAGCCACAGGAGGTGAATGATTGGGGTAGCTCACCGGTGAGACTGTTGCCGGAGAGATCGAGGACCTCTAGTGTTCGGCAGAGCAGAGAAAGCTCCGGCGGAATCTCTCCGGAGAAAAGATTGTGTGCGAGAGAGAGCTGTTTCAGGTTCTGGAAATTTCCCCAATATCCTTCGCCGGAGATTTTCCCGGCGAGACTGTTCCGAGAGAGGTTTAGCGTCTCGAGGAGCTTACAGTTTGTCAGACTAATTGGGAATCTATCGCCGGAGACGTTGTTCTTTGATAGACTAAATACGGTGAGGTTACCGCAGAGCCCGAAACTGAGACGGGAGAAGTCGCCGGAGAAATTATTGTGAGATAGATCAAGGTATTTAAGAGACGCCGGAAAACCCGAGATGAAAGTCTCCGGAATCTCATCTGAAAAGAGATTATACGAGAGATCGACGGTGGTGATTCTCTTGTTACTCGTCGACGGAGAAGAATTCAATTTCCCGGCAAGCTTGTTGCTTGAGAAATTGACAGAGACCAGGCTCAAACAGCTAGAGAAAACGTAATCCACCATCGAAGAATCCGAAATCGAGTTTGAAGATAAGTCTAAAACCTCAAGTGAACAATCGGAAGAAGATACAGAGGAGTCTCCCGACGAGAAGGAGTTTCCTTGCAGATGGAGATACCGGAGATGCGACAACGCCGTGAGATTACTGAGGTTTAAAGTGCCGATAAGGCCACCGTTTCGTAGATCCAGAGCAATGACTCGACCATCGTTAGAGCAAGAGACGCCTCGCCAAGAACATGGGTCACGACGACCCGACCCGTATTTCCAGTTACCCAGAATGTTGTTAGGATCCGACTTAAGGGAGATTTGCTTGAACGCCGTTAACAGAGCAGAATCGCTCTGGTCTTCGCTGAGTAGCCGTCTGCCACGAGCGTCCACCATTAGAAACAAGACGAGCAAGCAGAGGATCACGAACCACCGTTGTTGCTTCATATTATCGGCACACCAAGTGTTCGATCAAATTCCTACCGGAATCATCAGCGTAAAGACTGGAATTTCAAGCTCAAAGGATCTTCTTTTCGTCTACTTGGGAATCATTATTGGACATGGCGAGAAAACCCTATACTCCATAACTACCGATTCCTCCGAAACACTGAAATCCAAAGAGAAATTAAGATTAATCCTTTGAATAACAGTAGAGAAGCAATGGTTAATTGTGAAAAAAATCAAGTCTTGTCAGAGAAGAAGAAGAGACATACAAGATACATGTGCGATTGGGAAGAAACAAAAAGCGGAATCAAAGGCTGAAAGATACGGAAAAAGAGAGAGGTCAAGTACAGAGAGACAGAGACAAAGAGAGTTTCTTCTAGTGAGGAAGACAACGGAAATGGTCTTTGACAGACTTGTCTCCCCCAAGTACGATGTTGCAGAGATGGTCGGATTCGAAAGAAAAAGAAGAAAAAAAAAAGAGAGTTGAATTCAACCCACAAAAAAAAAAAGCTGGTTTAAGATTCCACAGCTTTTACATACAAAAGGAAGCGTGTTTAGTACGACCACTACAAAGAAAAACGAATTTTCCCGTAAAGAAAAACAAGAGATTTTCAGGTTGCTTTATTTATTTGCTTGGTTAAAATGAGAAGCTGAGAAATTATCTGGTTACTTAGTCGCATCTTAGAGAGAATTGACGAAGAGGAAGATGAAGAAAAGGAGGATGAAGTCTTGTCCCTTTTTTCTCCTCTTTGCTGGAAAAAATTGTAAAAGCGAAAGAGAAGAAAATGGGCAAAGAGGGTAAAATGGGGAGAAAAAGCTAAAGAAGACAAAACTATAAGAGACTAATCCTACGTGAAAAGAGGATGCATAATCATTATTTTAAAGACTATTTTTTTCTAATTATTAATCCCACCACCTAATAGGTTTCCTGCAATTAAATTAATCTCACAAATATCTAGCAATAGATCAAACCCAACGTCATTAAAATTTGATTTTGGAGAGCAATTTTCTATATTTTTTTTTAACAAACAATTTTTAAAATGTTAGGAAGAATATTTGTAACAAATCTAACCAAGGTCTTGTTTTGTGGGGACTAGATTTGTTGCGTTTCATGTTCTGATCCTGTTAATGTCAACGATATCTCCAAACTCAATACCATTTGTGCAACATGTACATTAGAATTGGTTCGATGTATGTGATCATTCTTTTTACATATCATTTATAATTAAAAAAATGGATTCATTGGATCTTAATTTCTGTAAAATCCTCGATGCGCCATATATTGCATACAAGATTCAACCTCAGGTACATAAAAACATCAACATATCCAAGTTCGAATCCTACAAATTATTGCAAACTATATAATATTATAGTTAATTATTTTGAGTTTCAATAGAAAACCCTAGTGTTTCTCTAATTTACACATTGTATAATTATTTTCTATTGATAATATACAATATTAATACTAGGGTCTTTCAAATCAACCCTTAATATTCGGCTCTTTTAATGTTTGACGTACGAAATAAAATCTTTTTCTTTTTCAAGTTAGATAATCGGATGAGTTACTCCACACGAATGTCTCTCGGTTTCCGTATATTAGGCTCGTAATATTATTAAACAAATAGAAATCCAATGTATATAAAATACAAGCAACAATAATTTAATAATAATTATATTTTCAAAAAAAAATATTAATATATAATAATAATAATGTAATGATAATTAGAGACCTAATTCCCCACCACCATTCTCGTATTTTCCTACGCGTGTGTGTAATTTTCTAACCCTACACGCACGAAGCACTAGCTTCGTGAATTAAAAACAAATATGGTTCTTGTCTATGGCCCTCGTAACTTCTTATATCAGATTTACGGCCCGAAAATTGTTTGTATTTTTGGATTTACCCGTAACATTTAATACAAGATGTATATATTGGTAAAAGACCGCATCCATAAATTGAATTGTTTTAACTTCTGCTAGGTGACAAACTTTAACAAATTTTGCTGTTTACATCTATCTAAAGTTGAATTCAATATCAGATAACTGCATAAAATTTAAGTAATTCCAACGATTAACATGATTGTTTCCTAAAATGTTGACCAAATATGAGTGTAACAGACGTGACCGCAACTTCTTTTCGGTAGGTACGAGATTAAGCTAGAATAATCAAGTTATTATGAGCTGGACCTGTTGTAACTTAAAATTATCCTTGTTCTTTTTTTTTTGTCCTCAACAAATTCGGAGTTTAATAAAACTACGTACCTACTACTATTCGTACATGAAAATTATATATTTAAGTTCAAAGATTAAGTTTTTAAAGGCCCTTAGTTAAACAAGAATAAAATGGGATGTTGTTTATATAATGCATCGTGCTTGCGCTACACGTGCATTTTAATGAACTTAGAATTATATTAGTGATCAAGCAAAAACTTATCTAGTCCATTCTGTTCCTAACTTCTACCTAAACACATTTAGGTTAGTTAGTAACTTAGTATAGCTAAACGCATTGATGAGAAAAATAAGAGAAACCTAGCTGAACATATAAAGGTTGCGAAATTCGTACGCTGTAATTGTTAATTGATTTAACAGGCATTTTAATTCAAATTATATAGGTCGTAAAATCCGTGACAATAACACGTACTATATTAGCAATAAATTATAAGGAAGAGACAAAAATGATCTCGAAGTTAGAATTATAGAAGATAGAAAATAGAAAATGAGTACTAAAAAAATAAATTCTTTGGTGTGTAGGGCGGCTTTACAAATTTGGTAGATGTTAATAGGTTCCAATAAAATAAAATATAGTGAGGCCCAAGAAGTTAGATTATTAAATAACAGGGTTAATAATAAAAAGTATAAAAAGCGAGGGGATTTATGTAATACATAAGCGTGGGCTCGGGGGCGGGGCCGGCCATAGGGGTTGCATTTTTGTCAGTTTTTCCGGCCGCACGAGTGCAAATCTTGTGACCTCCAAAGATTTTCTCGTGTCCATTTATTAGATATTTCATTTGACATAAATCTTCTTTTTAGCGTAATTGACATTGAACTTTTATAGCATTGTTTGAATTTAGTCCAATATAGACGAAAACATTTGTGGAAAAGAAAAAAAAATATAAATATGAAAGGGGTCTCTCGAAGAAAGACGAATAGATGATATGATTTGAAAATCTTACACGTCACTTTCATGCATTAATAATGAACATGATATTTTGTTCCTTAATAGTAAACTTTCTTCCAAAATAGCGGAATCATCGCATTCAAATCAGCCTAATTTCTAGTCCAACTATCCCATTTCCACGTAAATGTATATCTATTTTTTTTTCGAAGATAACTTTGTTCAATTTCTTTTTTTTTTTTTAGTCACATCTCTCTTTCATTTACGACTAAATTTATTAGTACTTGCTTTGCTTGTTTAACTACATTAAATTAGAAACCGAAAAATGACTATATTAAATTAGAAGCTTTCTTGGATCAAATAGTTTGATCACATGTTCATTAATGTTTTTACATTATAAGGTATAAATTTCGATATGCATATTAATGGATGGATATTTTCATGAGATCTGCAGCAAGTAGAGATGTTTGTTGTGATCTCATATGTTAAAGATAAAGTTGTTCATTTTGAACATGGTGCTGATATATAGAATTGTATATATGTCATAGATCCTAGTAAGAGAATGAAATATTTTAAATGATATGTAGAAGTCAGTAGAACTTCAAATTGTTGGAGAGTGTGATACAGTTTGGGCATGCATTGTGGTCTTCTTTTCTCATGGACCTCAACAAAACTGATGATTCCTCACGAAGCTTTGTCAATCATCATTCCAGAAAGGTCATATATCTCCTGCCTTAACAAAAAACCAAAAAAAAAAAAAAAATGCATTCTTATTTTTCCAGATATGCCTATGAATGGCTTGTTTCAGTCTATCATGGTAATGTTGCAAAACTTGGATATAGTTTATAACTTTTCTCTACATCTCCCTAATTTTTCAGGAAAAGCAAATTACTCAACGGGCCTAATAAAGGTTAGTTTTCATTGATCTTAAGGGCCCAACATATTGGGCTCATATATATTTTCTTACTACAATTCCGACATGTTGTTGACATATAATGCCAGATCGGACGGCCAGCTGTGCGCACTGGGTTTATGTCATATGGACCCCATGTGTGTTTTGCACCATCATCATTATTTTTTGGGTCTCTTTCTAATGTCTTTTTTTTTTTTTTTTGTCTTCGTCCTTTAATTAATTCCGAATAGAAGGCAGAAAAAGGATCGTTGATGCGATGCAGCAGCTTCCGGTAATAATTTATATTAGTCATCATCCTCAATAATGTCGGCGGATTTCTCCGTCGCTTGACCATTCTTGCTCAAAACTCTTTAGCTCTTTTAAAGTTTTTTCCTCACTCCTCTGTAACTCGGGTTCAATGAGTGGTCTATTGCATAAGGTACGCTTCTCGCTTTATCCCAATTGGATTCGATTCGCTTCTCTCTATTTCTTATTTTTGTTTTCCAGGAATCTTGGGGAAAATGGATAGATGATTGTTAAATTGTGGAATTGAGTTTTGTTCATCGTAATTCGTTTGAAATATCATCTCACTGTACATATAGTTCCTTTTTTTTTTTCTTTTTGAAGTGAACTGAATTTAGTACTTAAGAAGCTTAATCAATCTTGAAAATTTTCAGATTTGTCTCTAATTTTACTGTTTATCGTCAAAAAAGTTTGTTTTAATCTTAACGGGATGGTTTGTTGGATATATGGATCTAGGCATGAATCACTCAGTCCCTGAATCTGTGGAAAACAACGGTAACTCAGTTCCTGCTGATTATCCTGAGGTTATGAATCACAGATCGCCTGAAAATGCAGAATCGATGGAAAACGTGAGTGTAGTAGTGCCCAATGATGATGATGATGATGATCATGAGGAGGGTACTGGATCACCTCAACAATCGAACAAGGTTGATGGATTAAGGGTTGAATCTCCGGGTGGATCAGTGCATTCGACGAGAAAAGGTTTCGGATTGAAGAAATGGAGAAGGATCAAAAGAGATGGTCCCGTCAAGGAAGAAGCTTCACCTGTTGATGAAGGTGGTAAATTGCTGAAGCGTGGTTTGACTGGTTTGGTGAATCCGCCTTGTAAACATGTAGACTTGTCTTCAGTTGAAGCTAGGCAGAGTAGTGAAGGCTCTGTTGGATCTGTGAATATGGTCCATCATCATCATCATCATCATCATCATCATCATCCTAGTATAGCCAACGGGTTTAGTCTCGATCCAGGTTTTATGTTTACTGTTGGCCAAGCTTTTGAGAAGAGTGAAGAGCATAGTGGTAATCCCAAAAATGCAAAGAATGTAGGAGGTGGCCAAGGGAAGATGTGGAGAGATACCATCACGAATCCGAGTGAAGAACTAGTGAAAAACGACAAGGAAAGGCGTTGTTCCAGCATGGATTCCGACTTGAGAAGTAGTGATTTTGTGTTTTCTAGTGGCTCAGTTTCTGTTTCCAACCACGGAGAGAAAGATGAGAGACTGATGATGAATCATGTTGGGGAATATAGCAAAGAAGGTCAGGTTTTGGAGCAAGTCCAAACATATAGCAGAAGCAAAAACGGGGAAAAGGAAGAAGAAGGAGATGAGAGTAAGAAAAGCAACCACAAGGATCAAATTGCAGATTCTATCAGAAATCTTGCAGCTCTGCAGGAAGCTCTTTGGAAAGGTTTGCAAACAAATCATAATTGTCAGTGTTCATGTTCTAAAGCCCTCGTGTTATATGATATTACTAAACTAACTAGGCGATTGAAACATGTTCAGAGGTTCAAAGTTTCCAGGAGCTTGGTAAGGAATCAATACCACTACATTCGAACATCGAGGAATTGAGTTCATTGAACTCAACATCCTCAGGATCACATGCATTAATCTTAAAGAAGAAGGTAAAACATCTCGAACACAAACTAGAGGAAGCAAGGACCATTCTCGAGGCAAAGGAAGCCAGGATCCAAGAACTTGAAAACTCAAAGATTGAATCTGAACTCGAGGGCATTTTCCAGAGAAAGATCGAAGCTGAAATCGAGCATTTGATGATCAGAAGATCTCTGGATTTATCACTACAAGTACTCAAACAACCGAAGAAGTTACATTCTTTGACAGAAGATGCTGAACCCAAACGTGGAAACATGTTAGGCAAAACATGCAAGTTCAGTTTCTATTTCTTGACACAGTTGATCTTGCTCGTCTCCATACTTCGGTTTCTCGTTCTCCAATTCTCTCCTCCTTCACGATTAGTTATACCAACTTGAAAAATCCGTAGATCGTTGTTCATGTTGTGTTAACATACATTTTTTGTTTTCTTCAGATTTTCCTTTATTGTTGTAATAATAAATCTTTCTCAAGGATTCTTTCTTTTTTTTTATCTACAGAAAACTTGCGATTCTGATAAAATAAGTTAAGAAATGAATGTGAATGAGATTACTGCATTTTCTCACTCTCATATATCTTGAGATACACGCCTTGTATATAGCGTAAAAGCCCGTATTATATTTGCGTTCGACGAAGAGATCGTACATGGTTTCGACTTTCGACCGAGTTATCGAGAAAATAAGAGACGATGATAAGCTAATTTTTTTTTTGTTAAAAACGGTCTCTCAAAAAATTTTCCCGGAAACATGTATAATGGGCCTTGGATTAGAAAAGCCCATTAACCGAGTAAGAGGCTTTTGGGAACTCACGTGGAGCCCGTTAATGGTTATCCTTATACATTCTACCCTAATGGAAGTAATTAGCCTAAAAAGGAAGTAAAAAATTTGTTTCTAGTTATAAAAAATGAAAGAAGACCAGGTGTGGTTATAAATAAATTATTTCCCCAGACAGATATCATTAACTTTTGTGTGAATTCCGTTCGCTTAATCCTTTTTTTTCTTTAATATTAAGAAAAAGGATTAATCTAAAAATCTCCAATACGGTCGTCTCTTACCTTTACCAAGACGGCCAAAAGAAAGATGTCGACCGATATTTCACCGTACTTGCAAACTCACGTGGAGCCCGTTAATGGTTATCCTTCGGACAACAAGAGCTGCGACGGTTCCTCTGGTACGGCCAAATACGATGATCTTGTCCGTAGCTCCGTCCTCTTCTGGGAAAAGCTCAGAGCTTTGCCTGGCTTTTCCAGCAAAACTTTGAAGTAAGATTTTTTTTTTTTTGTTCTTTTCTCGTATTAGTTTTTCTTGGGTTTATGAGACTGTTTGTTTCGTTGGGTTTATGAGTCTGTTTCGTTGGGTTTAAGATTGTAGAAGAAAAAATTAACCTTCTCGGTTTCGTTTATGGAATTTTATATCCGTGCCGATGAAATTTAATGGTTTTGTTTAATGTTCAGCACTGATTGTAGAATTTATTAGAGATACATGCAATTTTTGTTGGTATTTCGTTCTAAGATTCGTTAGGGTTGTGGATTCAAGGATTGATGTGTTGATATTTTGTCTGGTTAGATTAAACAAAAGCATTAGATTTTGTGCTCAGTGAAATGTTGAATGTTCTAATAAGGGTTTAATGGAATCCGGACTGGTGCAGTTAAAAACACATCCTTTATGACGACTCTTCGTATGTCTCTGTGATTCGTGAATGCAGGAATTGCGTTATGTCATGTGTATCGCCTGTTTAATTTGGGTTTTTCGTCTTCTTTACCTGTTTATATGTATTTTGGAAACTATCTTGTTCATTAGGAAACTAAAAAAGCAAATTGGATTTGGTACTTACTAATCTCGATATTGTAGTTAAAATCTGTGAACAAGTTTAGGGTTTCATGTGTTGTTTTGTCTATTGTTTCCCATTGATAAAATTTTTAAAGGAATATTCTTCGTGTTTCTTCTCTCAAATTTGATGAAAACATTTTATGTTTCTGTAAAGGGTTCCTACAGTGGGAGGAAACACTCTGGATCTGCATCGGCTTTTCATCGAGGTTACTTCTCGAGGTGGAATTGAAAGGGTATGAGTTAATGCTGCTATATATCTAATTATTACCTAGTGTGTGGTAGTCTAGTTTGGAGATTAACAAAAAAAAATCCTGTTTGGAGATTGTTTGTTCCATTGAGTATTGAAATCTATATATTTTTGTGACCCTAGGTGATTAAGGATCGAAAATGGAAAGAAGTGATCGGTGCATTCAATTTTCCGACAACAATAACAAGTGCATCATTTGTCTTAAGGAAGTATTATCTCAAGTTTCTTTATGAAATGGAACATGTGTATTACCTTCAGAAACCAGTTTCTTCAATCCAATCAACAGGTCTATTTCAACACTAAATTCTTGTCTTTTTTTTTGTTCGTTGCTTACTCCTTAACATGCTGAGGAGAAGCCAATTTTCTCTTGATTTCCCAGATGAAGCAATGAAGAGCCTTGTCAGCGTCTCACCAAACCCCGAGGAAGGTATTAGAAAATTTTCTCTGACTTTGTGTCTTTATTTTTCTTCCCTCCATAAATCCTTATTCATGCATCAGCTTGTAAAATGTTGTATTTAATAGCCCATTGGATAGAGTTTATAACAGCTTCTCTATAGATAAGTCATGTCTACTTGTCTTTACATTCGACACTCAGGTTCATTACTTTTCTCAAGGGTTAAAAATTCCTGAGTTAGCTTGTCACAAATGTAGCTCAGTAACCAAGCTATCTCTGCTTCATTCCTTTTAGGTTGTATTGTCTTTTAACACATTTTTGGTGAATTAAATTCGCAAATAATCATTGCTTATCCGCATAAATGTTTTAAGATTACCGTATAGATTTTCACCTTATGGAACTTGCAGGCATTGATGAACCGCAAATTGGGTGTCCGGTTCACGGATTCATTGATGGGAAGTTCGATAATGGATATCTTGTGACGATGAAAATGGGTTCTGAAGAGCTGAAAGGAGTGCTTTACCACATTCCTCAAACACCAAGTCCGTCCCAGCAAACCATGGAAACACCTTCAGCCATAGTACCATCATCACAACGCAGGCCTAAGAAGAGATCAAAATTGGCTGAAGTTGATTCTCTGAAACCCAAATGCCACAGGAGTGGCTACAACTTCTTCTTCGCGGAGCAGCACGCTAGGCTTAAGCATGAGAACCATGGACTAGAACAAACCAAATCCATCACCAGGAAAATAGGAAACATGTGGAGAGATCTTCCCGAATCTGAGAAACAGGTAACTTAATCAGGTAACTTAATCATGATCAAATCATATCCATATTTGTATTAAGTCTGTGTTTGATTTCAGTTTGACATATTTTTACAGGTTTATCAAGACCAAGGAAGTAAGGATGTGGAGAGATACAGAATTGAGATGTTGGAATATAAATCTTTACATGAGTCAGGAGCTGCAGCTTCAGCAGCAGCCACAGCGGCTCAGTAGTGTTTTTCCCTGATTGTTGTCTTCTCTGTTTGTAACCTTCGTCTTTCTTTCTCTAGAGAAGTTTTTAATGTTATGTGTTTGAATAGTTGCAGAACTTGCCATGTTTATGGTTTTAGGGCTAGTGAAGAGGTTACTTGCTGCGGATTAGTATCTTTCTTGTTGTTTTGTTGTTAAGTGCCATTTTGTAGCGTTACCGGCATAGCCATATATCCAGACCAAGACCTATTACCGAAAAGCTTAAGGTTTGGCTAAGATTTTGACTGGACATCAACACAAGACTGGTTCATCCGTAAGAAAATCTTTTTAACTGTTAAAAATCATCTAAAAACTACTAAGTCCTGAGAATTGAACGAGATTTTTACTGTGAGAGCAAATTTTGGAATCTTCTTCCCATGTGAAAAGATGTGAAAAGATTAAGTAGTAGAATGCAGCAAATTCACGTCAATTGAGTTTCTCCAAGCGAGCGATAGCTCCATGCTGAGGCTGATCACGACCGATTTCACGACGGCAGAGGAAGATAATCAGTATTAACAATTAATTATTTTAAATAAGTCAGTTATTTAAACAGAAAAGTTAACTTATATTTCTACAGCAAACTTACCACATAAATCTACATTTTAAACCACAACTGCAAGAAAGTTACATCATATTACAACATCCCAGGGCAACTCAACGTCTTCAAAATTACATGTCATAAATCTATTGCGTTGCTTCTGTCTTGTTCACCGGTTTGCAGTATAAGCGCTCTTTTATTCTTCGGACTTTGGACGGCTCTATTCTTCTTGCTTAAAGAAACGAATCAAGGTAGGAATAGTCCCTGCGCCGATGATACTCAAGGAGGCTACCATAAGTGCGATCCCATACCCCAATGAAGAGCGCCTCTGTGTCAGGGCTGAATGATATTCCAGAGATCTCCCCAAAGAAGTCTATTTCTTGCTCTCTTTCATACCCGTTTGAGACGTCATAGACATGGACAAAGTCAGCAGGTTCAGCCATCGCCATGTATTTCCCATCGGATGTGTAGCGGAGTGACCGGATTGCTCCAAGGTTACCCTTCAAGACAGCAACAGATTGAGATAGGTTACGGATGTCCCAGACACGGCAGGTCTTGTCCTGGTTTCCAGTTGAGAAAGTGATTCCGTCAGGATGCCACGCCGAGGCAAAGGAATAGTCCAAATGTCCTGATAGTGTTTCCAGCGTCTGTAGAGAAAAAATTCCAAAAGCAACATGCGTGGTGACCAACCATTTCAGACTAATTTACACACTTTGTGTCCAGGGTCGCGCAAAGATGTACCTTTCCAGTGTTCGGGTCTACTATAAGGCCCTCCGGATTATCCCCAACAATAGCCAGTAATTTGCCATTAGGACTCAAAGATGCATGCTGTACCAGGAAACAGAAAACAAAAGAACACCATTTTTGTTAGATGATTCGAAGCACATGTACATTTACCAACTGGATTTGGTAAACTGCAGAAACGGAGTTATAAAATCCTAATTGAAACTCAAATTGTTTGCCTCAAATGTAAAAGCAAAACCATGAAAGAAGCAAGGACTTTACATTCACTGGCCAAGGAAAACGAAAATGCTTAACAAGCTGGTATCTCTCCATGTCAAAATCTCTAACTCCACAGTCATTATTCGAGGCAGTAAAATGAAGGGCACCACTGTAAACAGAAGACAAAATCTAAGTTAGAAGCAGTGGCTTTAACAAATTTATGTGCACTCTTCAGCAAAAGAAAGACGAGCAAAAACCTGGGTTTGTTGTAGATCTCAATAGCATTGGTAATGGCATTATCATCATAAGTCGTACGAGAGCAAAAGCTGACGCCAGGTCTATCAAGATGCTGAACAAATGTGTAAAGTGGAAACAGATGAAGCTCGTCAATGAGAATGCACGTCTTTAGTGTGACTAATCCGTAATCAATGAATCTAGACTTACCTTGCAAATAAGTTCTCCTTGAAATCCACCAGCGACTAGAAAGTCGTCTTTTACTGCAAGTGTACTCACTTGAGTCTGCGTAAATCCTTCCAGCAAACTTCCAGGGTGTTTCTAAATGCACCAAACAAGGAAAAAAAAACTCAGAATCACATAATAATAATATAAAGTTATAAATTAGAACTTTACATTCTGGGAAAAACTAACCTCTGATGGTGCAACATGACCGCGAACATTGAGAACTTCCTTCTTTCCGGACGTTAGAGAAGAGTAATGTGTTAGCAGGAAATTTGACATAAGATATACGTCGTGCTTGGAAGTTGCCCACACCAAATTCCTCAACTATAGAAACCCATAAATATTCTTGATCAGAAGGAATTCTTTTGGAGTATATAAATGTTATGTCCTCAACCGTGTCAAACACAATATATAAATCGAATCACAAAAGGAAACGAACTCTCAAGATAAATTAAAAGGAAACCTGGAAATGAAGTATAGTAGATTTAATAGATCTTGAGTTCCGCCAAAAGTCATAGAAATGTCCCCCTTTCTGTGTGACCTTGCAAACCTGAATTCATACAAAAACAATGATACAATAAGTAGCTGTGCTAACCTAAACACTAGCAAAAATGGAAGATCACGGAATAAAATTCTTACCTTTTCCGATAATTCCCCAGAATTAGGGACATTTTCATAATTCTTATACTGTTCTAATCTAGTTTGTCTGTATTTCTCTCTGGAAATACTTAGCCTGTCCCAAGGAATCCCCTGGATATCTTTACCTTTCCGAGCTTGGTCTGCCGAAGTATCAGCTATTTTGTTATTCTGAAACCATGGAAAAGGCCAAATTACAAAGGTATGAAATAAAGCAAGAAAAGAAATAGCCAACAAAACAGATAAGTCGTGAATCGTGATCAGGCATACTTACCGAGTAGTCAAATTCCTCAACATCGGAATCTGATGCACCTAGATCATCGCCGCGAAACTCCTCGTCCATATCATCTTCTACATCTTCCATCTCATCATCTACGTCTTCCATGTACTCAGCATCATCTCCTTGATAATTGGACATTTTTTTTAGAAGATAAATAACGGCACCTGCATATATAATAAACACATAACCATATTTATTAAAGAATCCACCATATCAAGTAACTCCACACTCCTACTCAAAAAAGAGATTTGAACATAGACTTTGCATATACATACGTAGAAGTGAGTGCACAATTTAGAACATAAAAACAGCAATAATAATTTAACAAACAAAAAACCATTAATTTAACATGCAGTCCCTAGGTTACCAAAGATCTGAAGCCTTGCTAGGCTAATCCAATTCAAAGAGTTATACACACGAGGATAAAACGCAAGTGTTAACCATCGTAATCTAGTTGCGACACACTTAAGAATTATTCAAATTCCACGACCCAATAGGGAAAATTGGGAAAAAGGAGGGAGAAAACCCAATCTGGAACAAATTAATTATTCCAGTTGATGCGCAAAGGCGAACCCTAACAATCACAACATCAAATTTTATACATACGTGAACGATTCAAACAAACATAAAAAAAAATAAAGCCAGTGATAGTGATAGGACTGAATGACATAAACATATATGAAATATACAGATCAAGGTGAGACAAACCCTGAGATTGGCAGGAATCAAAAGGAAAACGAATTGTCCGCTTTTTTTGTTTCGATCTAGAGATGAGAAATTTGAGCAACAAAATCCGGAAATATAGTGCTAATTACAATTTCCGGGTTATAAATCTTCAAGAGGTAGAGACCGGATCGGCCGCCAGAGAACAACCCAGAACGAAAACGGGAAGAGAGAGGAACAGCGAAAAAGGGACGGTCCGTTTTTTTTTTTCCTTTCCTACTAAGTTTAATTTTTTTTTTTGCTTTTCAATAAATTTGTTCCCTTATCGAATCTAGTCATGGTTCAGGGGAAATTGCACATTTTACACCTCAACTATTTGCAATTGGCATAAATAATCCTCGACTATCGTGATTGCAAAAAAATTCCTCAATTCAACGTTGACCACGCAAAATTAAAATTAAATATAGTCAATCGTTAATTGAGAAAACGGAAAACGTTACATTAAATCTCGCTAACTTTTTATGAGTCTAATTTCGCAGAGTTAATATAAAGTTGAGGAATTAATTTGCCAAATTAAAAGTTGAAGAATTAATCTGTAAAATTATAAAACTTGAGAAATTAAATGAACTGAAATTTAAAAGTATACACATAATTGTTAATGCTTATTCATAACAACGGTGAAAATTATTACGTAGCACTAAAAACTATTGAATGTGAAAAAATTATTAAATTGTTTGTTCATAACAATTTTAATAATTTTCTTTTAACATTAAAAACTATTAAATTTGAAAACAGAAAAAATCAAAACAATTATATAAAACTATATAAGAACTTAACCGATAAGTTTTTACAGTTACAAAAACTTTTTTTTTGTATTTGATGCTATTAATAAAGTAATCTTAGTTGAGTCTCTATTGTTCATGCATGAAAGCCTAAATTACTTGGATCTTACCATTGTATTTTTATAGATTTATATAGTCAGATTCGAGCTGTAGATTTATTTTAGATCAGTAATATTTAGACTATAAAATTATATGTAAAGTATTGGTTTATAATTATAAAACTCTGGTTGTAGTACATGAGTACCATCTAAGAGCTACAAAAAAAATTAGAAATATATACGTTTGTTAAATTAATTTCTAATATTCTTTTTATCTTTTTATGTTATCTAAATTTTATTCTTTTCTTTTGTATTAATTATTTTGAAAATAGAAACTGTTTTCAAAAAATAGAATTTACCTGTTTGTTACCACATGATTTTTTTTTTGCAAAATGCTACATTTTTTTTTCTCAACTTGAACTACCATTTTTAGTAGCTCAGAGCTATATATAGTTTATTTGATTTTTTTGCACATTCAATAGTTTTTAGTGCTATGTAATAATTTTCTTAACAGTTATGTGTATATTTTTAAATATTAGTTCATTTAATTCCTCAAGTTTTATAATTTTACAGATTAATTCCTCAATTTTTAATTTGGCAAATTAATTCCTCAACTTTATATTAACTCTGCAAAATTAGACTCATAAAAAATTAACGAGATTTAATGTAAGGTCTTCTGTTTTCTCAGTTAAGGATTGACTATATTAGTCTTAATTTTGCATAGTTAACATTGA